TTGCTTTCAGGGGCAGTAGAATACTATCAGCTCAGAAGGTGGAGTGGGATAGAAAGGGGAGAGAAATAGATACAGAATTCCCATTGCAGAGACGGCTTAGATTAAAATCTGAGAAGATTTGTGCAGCTGTAATTCTCACTGTTACAAGCCCCTGAAATCTATGCTTATATGGCTTGGGAGCAGCCATAGCTCAGTGGCTCAGTGGCAAAGCACATTTTCTGCATACAGAAGTTTCCGGGTTCAGTTCCTGAGCCGGGGAAGATGAGACTGAATGAAATCACTATGTATCACCTGATGTGGAGGCAAGCCATGCTGGCTGCTATTCCCTTTTATACACAAAAAGGAAAGATATAGGAGCCCCATCCTCTTTTTCTTCTGATTGCCCTGCTAAAAGAACATAAGGAATATGATTCCGATTCATAGCCTTCTATTTGTAAACTTAGGAGACTCCCTGAAGGTTGCAGGATTTATGGTTTTGGAGTCTGCCTGCCATTCCTGAATCCCACTGCTTCGGAGAGTGGCAGAATAGACTTAAATCAACAGGAGGAAAATGAAGCACTCCATGTAATCTGAACTGCTAAATGCAAAGGGCCATTTCACAGAAGATGTTGTGATGTGATTATATGCTCTACCATGCAGTCACACTGATTGTATGATACCATCAGTAACAATATTAGCATTCATGCAGTGCTCATTTGCTAATCTCAGCAACAGCGCCTGCTGTGACCTGTCTCTCTCACCCACTGCCCCATCATGTCTCTCAGCACTGCTTAACCACAAAAGCCCCGGCTTCAAAGGCAGTGATCATAGGTATGTGCTAGCTCAAAAATTCAGTTCAGACCCTAACTTGGAAACTGGCTTAATATGCCTCAGACTGTTGTGGATGCCACCTAGTTTAACTCTGGGGCCAAATCTGCCATTGGCTATCATTGGAAATCAACAAATGATCGCGACTTTTTACTGTCTGGCAGAATTGGATGGCAGTTGCAGGCACGAGAAGCTTAAATGACGGGATAAAGCCTCACAGTTTTCAGACAAGTAGGTGCAGGAGGTTTGTGCTGAGCTTTAAAGTCTGACTTTTAAAAAGGGTGATTATCAATAACTTTTAAAATGTCTTGCTAGAATTAAATAGCATTTGGAGGAATAGTTGCCCCTTCTGAAAGGATGAAGCCTGCCAAACTCCAGATAGATAGGAGAGCCTTTGGGAAACTATCCACTACCATTTGAGCATTTCTAAAAAGGATGTGCTATTTTTGTTGTGGACAATTGTTATTAAAATGGTACAGACCTTATTTATTTATTTAAAGTTTTATATCCCGTCCCAATACTAAAAGTCTCTGGACGGCTTACAAAAACCCAACCCAAAACAAAACAAAACAAAAAGACAAACAAGCAAACAAAGCAACCGTAACAACACACAACACATAGAGATGGTCCTACTTAGAAACCACACAGCAGCATTGGTTTTTTTATGGGGAGTCTTTGACTGGTGAGTCATCCCCCATTGTTTTTGGGGTAGGAAGACATATGCCATATAGGAAAGAAGCCTGAAAAACTTCAGAAGGATAGGTGCAGGAGCTAGAGTGTTATGAATGAAAATCCATTTATTCATGTTTTTTTCTGCACAGTTGACACCTGTCATTAGAAATTACCTTACTAGATATAGCAAGGATGGAGGAAGTGGAGAAGCAGTCAAGATCCTGAAACTGCTTGTCTTTATATTATTTACACACATGCATGTGTGTTCTCTCTGTTACACCCACATACACATACTACAGGAACCCCTGGCACTTGCTTATTCTAGCTTTAGGAGGTGTTTGCATGGAAGCCAAGCAAATGGGAGCACTCCTAAAAGGAGGCCTTCAGTTATCTGCAGAATGAGTCTAGAATTCACACAGAACCAGAAATTGTTTCTTTTTGAAAGTTAATCTATTCTGTGGCTTTTCATCTATTCTGAAAAGCTTACTTGGATCATACCATTAATGTGAAGGACAGACTTGCTCATGTTTGGAAGGCTGCAATATATGATATAGCTCCTTCTGTGTCCACATAATATTTTACCTGGATGGTTATGAGTCAGAAAGGTGAGAACAGATAGCTTGGCAAAGTAATGCTAGTTTATCTTGGGGCAAATGGAGATTTTCTCCCTCTCTCCCTCCCTCCCTCCCTCTCTCCCTCCCTCTCTCTTAGTTTCTTTGCCAGTACAAGAAAGATGTAGGATGGATCTAAATTTTAGTAAAGACAAATAATACATAGTAAAATATAGATCACACATGTCACTACTCAGTGTGCAACACTGATTGATTAAGCTAATGAGCAAAGGGGGAAGGGCAGAGCAATGCCCTAGTAAGAAAGATGACTTATCATTTGAAGAGTTGAAGGATTTCCTATCTTGCCACCTCTCTGTGATTGGGCAAAATAAAGAGAGCTTCCCTTCCTGGTGCTATCTTATTTACACATCCCCCCACCCCCTTGTGAGATGCCTGCCAGGCCCTTTCCATAGAAAAATGGATTATTCTACAGTCAGATTAATGGGCTTTCATTTTGCAAAACATCTGTCACCGTTAGTCCTGGACAGTGAGCGTGAAATTAGTTTTGACTGCAGAAAGGCTACGTCGGTGTGTAATATGTGACTAACATTACAACGGCTCAGGAAGCGAGCTGGTGAATGAAAATTACCTGTTGAAAGGAGACTGGGCATCTTCTGAGAGTGGCAGAGAGAGGAGGGGTAATGCGTGGCAGAGAGGGGAGGAGTCGAAATGGGGGCCTCCTACCCCTGTGTGTGTGGCTTATTCTTTCCTGTGATCTCGATGTCTGTCTGCCCTTATTTGTTGCCGATACTACACAGTATTAATGAAAGAGGCAGCTTGTAGAGACTCTGAGGTAGGATAGGCATGATGTCTGGCACAGAAGTGAGGGCTGGGCTGTCTGTGTAGCTGGGATCAGCAAAAAGCCTCAATTTGCCTTGGAAATGTTGTGCAAAAATATCTTCTAGGTAGCAATGAGTCACATCACTGCAGTACCACCAAGGATCACACACACTTAATGTAGCTATTTAGTAGGGGCACGGCAATCAGTGAATTAATCTGTGAAAGCTTCATTGACTAATTGGTGGCAGCTAATTTTAATTGGGGAGTGCAGATTTGAATCAGTGGAGCTGCATATTGAGTAGAAATAGTCTGGGAGGCTATTTTGGTTCTGGTGTGTTACTGTTACAGGGGATATAAATGAAAACATGAAATTTGTTTTTTCCTCTTAACTATGAATGGTAACTTTTGATTAAGTTGAAAGCATTCTCATACTACTTTCAGTAGGACAGCCCCTCATCCCCGTGTTTCATTCTAGTAATATGCAAATATATTCAACTAAATAGTGTGGGGATCAATGACCAAGATATCAGTCAGGAGACCTGCAGCATTATATTCCAAACCAGCCCTCAAGGAAGAATTCCGCTGCAACATGGTGCCCCTGAGTCCCATCTTGGTGGGTATGGACAGAAGGAAACTTTGGCTAATGGCATTCGATGTCACTAATAGGTCCAGCAGAACTGGCAGGCATGTACTCCTGCTAACCAAGTCCTAGCTTAGATCATCCATCAAAGCCATTTCAATCCCCAAACTGGTACTACAGCTGGGTTGAAACAGAGCTAGATCATCTTCTCATCCAAATCTGGATGCTGATAAAGCAGTAGAATATTTTATCCTTTCAGTTTAACATGGTTATTTTGATAGTGTTAAATATTTCTTAAAGCATACAGCCTCTGAGGTTGGATGGGATAAAAACAAAAACAAACTCACTCTGCCATATTAAATACATGGTGAAGTGCACTAGGCAGACATGCTTTCAGTAAGAGCTGATCCTGTTTCCTGAGCACAGCCTGAAGGCACATGATGCAGCAATCTAGCTGGAGTTAAGGTCCATGTCTAAACAGTGGTTAGATGGAAGATCACCTGAGACCCCTAGGCACGCCACTTTGCATTCTGACGTAAGAACAAAAGAAGTGCCATGCTGGATTGGACCAAGGGTTCATCTAGTTCAGCTTCCTGTTCAAGCCAACCCACTGCCTGTGGGAACCCACAGATAGGACACGAATGCAAGAGCTACATGGCATCAAAGTTCCCCTGAAGCTGATGAAAATAGGCATGTTATCTCTGAAGCAGCATACAGCCACTGTAAGTACAGGCCACTGATAGTCTTTTCTTCCATGGATTTGTCTATTCCTGATAACTACCCCAATTGGTAACCTTTTTCTGCGTGATGTGGTAGTGAGTTCCATAATTAGATATGTACCATGTGAATATGGACTTTCTTTTATTTGTCCTGGATCTCCCATGGATCAGCTCTGTTGGATGATCCCTGTGCTCTGATATCCCCTTTTTTTCTTCACCACATATCGTATCACATATTTGGATGCCAAGAAGCACTTCCTGACAGTTAGTACCCTTAGGGTATGGAATGGGCTTCCACAGGAGATGGTTAAGGCCCCATTGGTGAGGGTGCTCAAAGATAGGCTAGGCATGAACATGGTAGGCATGTCATGAGCGGAGCCAGCTAGAGCTGGGGGTCAGACTAGATGGCCTGGGAGACCTCTTCTGACTCATTCTCTTTCTATGTTTCTATACTTCATAGAAGGCAGGTGAGATCTAAATCTATAAAGAACCTATTATAGTTTAGTGACATATTTAGCATTCTGTTCCTGGGATGCAAGGGATGGGGCTTAGATCGCCAAGATTTGTACGTGATGTGCTTGTGTTGGGAGGGGTGAAAACATCCTGCAGTTTAATGCATGGTAGTAGAGTCATAACAAGGTAGCTGTCCCTGGAACCCGCTTTTTTAAAGTAAATAAATATTATATTCATTCTTCCACTAAGGCTAAGTGATCCTTGATCTTTTCTATCTTCAGTTTGCTTTAAGCAAGTATCCCTACAGAGAAGAAAAAATGATGCAGGCAGTTTAAGAAGCAGGTTTGAGAGCTGACTCTATTTCCTTCTGTCTTTCAGATGTACATTCAGACTACAACATTGACCATCTCGGTGAGCCTAAGCGCCTCTGTGTCATTGGGTATGCTCTACATGCCCAAGGTCTACATCATCCTCTTCCACCCAGAGCAAAATGTACCTAAACGAAAGCGCAGCCTCAAGGCAGTTGTGACAGCAGCTACCATGTCCAACAAATTCACTCAGAAAGGAGGCTTCCGTCCCAATGGAGAGGCAAAATCAGAACTGTGTGAAAATCTGGAAACACAAGGTAACCTTCTGAACCTACCTGAGTCCACGCAGCTCTGTCCCCTTTAAAACATCACTTCATCTGATAGTGAACTCTGAGCACCAACAGAAATGGAGCCAAAATGAATCTCCAAGAGACTAGATGTCGGCATGCTCAGGGGACCTATGCAGTTTGCAGACGTGCAGACAAAATTTTAAAATGACAATATTTGGATCTAAAAGGTTGGATCCAAGCACTCAGTTCTGGTGGATTCCTTGCTCCTCCTATCCCACCTCACCATATTCAACACAATCCCTGGACCCTCTGTGTAGCACTGCCAAGGGTAGAAGGAGCTGCTGTGGGGAGAATGGAATGAGAGGCCTCCTTCCATCTGTCCAGTTGCATGTGCCAAAATCTGGACCCAACAAAACATATGTCCCCAAACAAAACCAATGATGGGTCAGATCACAGGATGTTGGGTGCCAGCTGGAAAAGTCAACCAGAGTAGGGGATGTGTGTGTGTGGAAGATGGGAATGCCCTGCTTGGTGGAAATGGCCGGAATCTAATCTCATAGGAGCACTTTTATTAGAACAGCAAAAAAACTATATCTATATCAATGCAGATACAGATACTAGAAAGCACATTCATACTTGTGACTGATAGCTCTTCAAACTGTGATACTTGATAACAGTGAACGAAAGAAGCAAGAGACAAAACTGTAGAAGAAGCCCACAGGGAACCGCCCTATCTAGGCCTTCTCCCATTTTGGTTCTTGCTGAGGGTTTCTTTAAAATCCACCCTCCACTGGAACTCAGATGCTGGAGGCCTTGTTGCCTCCAGTATCACTACAAGCCAGCCCATGCACCAGACATTGGGAACTAGAAAAATATTTCACATTCCTAGACTAGGAAGCAACATTTTTGGGCACCAGCTTTGTGGAATGCCTTTTGAGTGGTCTCCCTGTGTTCCTCAAAACTAGATGAGGTACGTATCATCAACAACGTGCTTTTAAATGCATAGTGAATATGTATAGTGTCTCCATTGTGTTTACAACAACTGTATATTCATATCACACATTGCAGTGGGGAGGGACGAGGCTGAGAGATACTGGCTTGCGTAAGGTGAGTTAATGGGCAAGCTACACTGTGAATCAAAGACTTCAACCTCTTTCCTTACAATTAAGTCCTTCCTTCCTTGCTTGCTTCCTCTTCCTTCCTTCCTTCCTTCTTTCCTTCCTTCCTTCCTTCCTTCCTTCCTTCCTTCCTTCCTTCCTTCCTTCCTGATTACATTTCAATACTGTCCAACAGCTGAAGCTCTTTTAGTCATGAAACTAAAACACTGTGAACTTGCTTTTAACATCCATAATGTAAACAACACAGAAAAGCACCTAGACCAGAAAATGTACATATTTGGAATATAGGACACCTCCTGAGTCTATTGAACTCCTAATGGAGAGGCTGATATTTAGAAAGAGCAAGGCTGGATCTTTTACTAGAGATAGGCGGATTTGTGAATCTCAGTTTTGTCTAGCTTCTCTGTTTTCCAATGCCAAGGTTGCCCTGTCCCAGTTCCATAAGAGTTCTTTCTTGCAAATTAAAATCCATCCATATATTTGTGCCCATTTTTGAATGCATGCATTTTTGTACTCAGGCTCTTGCTGAAACAAAGTGTTTGTGTTATTGAAGCACACAAACCCCATCTGCCCTATCACAAGCTCTTCATCTTCCCGTGAAAGAAGCAGTTGCTTTCCTGGCTGTTTTGTAGGGATGTTGAAAATTTCAAAGAAATTTCTCAGGGTGCTCACATTACAATAAGGAGGTGGCTAAAGGGTTTACATGTGCTTTTGATTTTACAGTTTTCTCCTGTTCTGTGCTTTGTGGCCTCCCCAGTAGCTTGTGTTTCCTGGAAAGCTCCCCAGAGAATGTAGCCAGGACTTCTTTCCTTGGGGCTTTTGAGTGCGGCTACCTTTTGATCAAGGCTTTGCCGCAGCTGCTGTTGCTTTCTTGTTGTGGAAAGGATGTTTAACATAGAGAAATGAATACAAAATACCTCATTCAGCTTTCAGACACTTAGCCTGCTTAAAAACCTGGGGCAGGACAAAATAGGTAAGAACTACCTCCTTACAGCAGGGTAGGCACTAAAGACTCCGGCCCTGCAATTTCTCCCCCTGGAATTTGCACAATTTTCAGAGGCAATTTCTCCCCTTCCCCACTCCTTTTTTCACCCCATGGTGAAAAATAGATGGATTAAAAAATTCACAACTGCATAGGTTCATGTGTGTTGGAAGTATACAGCATTTTTTGCACATTTTAAAATTGTGTGCATGTCGTCAAACCCTGTTCCTTTTTATCATGGACTGCATAGTAAGGCTGGAAACATAAGGATTTCCACCTGGAAATTTCATCTAGTTCAGTGTTCCATTCATGGAGTTGTGATAAATTGTGGCTAAATTAATCTTTTGTTTTGTTTGTGGATAAATTAATCTTCCCTTGCCACCAAAAAAAAAAAAAAAAAAAAAAAGCCACAACAGGGTGAGGTGTTTTTGGTTTTATTTTTGTTTTTTGTTTTTTTTGCAAATACCTATATTATACAGAGGGACTCCAGGTGTTGCAGTGGTTTAAACCGCTGTGCTGCTGGGCTGCTTGATCGAAAGGTCGCCGGTTCGAATCTGCACAAAGGGGTGAGCTCCCATACTCAGTCCCAGCTCCTGCCAACCTTGCAGTTGGAAAGCATGCAAATAGATAAAAAGGTACCACTTTGGTGGGCAAGTAACAGTGTTCCGTGCACTTTGGTGTTTAGTCATGCTGGCCACATGACCACGGAGACTGTCTGCAGACAAACGCTGGCTCCCTCGACTAGGAAACGGAGATGAGCACCACCCCTAGAGTCAGGCATGACTGGACTTCACATCAAGGGGAAACCTTTACCTTTACTTATATTATACAGAGGTTTAAGAAAACCTATTTGGCACATTTTCCTGTTTGCGGCATGTCCAATGTGGTAGGGGAACATGTCCAACCAATGTACCTCAGAAACAAACTATATGTGATGCTAAGTACATAAATTGCTTAGTACTGTATACTTCATTTTTTCCCTTCTGGGGGAAAAAAGCAGACATGCATGGTCTTGAGAATGCTGTGCGGAGAGTGGGTTTAACCTTTTCCTTCCAATGTGATTTTCACTCTAAAAATCACCTCACCCAGCTGTTATTTCCTTGGGAGGTGCTGTTTCCCGCAAGCAGCATGTGTGGGAATACACAGCAGCTGTTGGAGCAATTTTCAGTGGAAAAAACATATGAGTTAAGTGCCCATGCATTGCAGTTCTGATCAGGATTGCCCCCCACCAGCTGCTACTGGGAGAGTGGGATGAAGTATCCATTACTAAGCTAAGCATGCTTTTACAAATGCAACATGCTATTTGACACTAACCCAAAAGCATGTAAATATGAACCTTCCATGTAACATATAATTCGATCCTCCTAAGTTCTCTCTCTCTCTCTCTGTGTGTATATATATGCACGCAGCACAAGCTGCCAAACCTAGAACAAACATAATAGAAATTAGGCATATTGCCCCCCCCCCCAGAAATCAGTTTCCATGGCAACCCTCCCCTTCCTCCCCTGGGATGGGAACCCTTGCAAAATGCAGTAGTGCCTGGGAGAAAAGTGAGCCCAGCACAGCCTCTCATTGCATTCCTTGGATGCTGTGGGCCCATAGACCCTGAGCATTTTTGCACACGCACACACACTGAGTGAGAGTGAGTGAGCAAACGAGCAAGAGAGAAAGCATTTCCTTCAGCTCTGCTTTCTGAAAGGTAACAGGGATGGTTACAAATTCTATGTAAAATGCCGGTAGTTGTGAGAAAATCAAAATGTGTTAATTCCAACTCCCCAGACAGTATAACTGAGAACAGGAAGCTATTCTCCCCTCCTTCGATCTCTCTGTGACCCTCTGAGCCTTTTCCTTCCTTCCTTCTTCCACCCACTGCTTAAGAATGGAAAGATCAGACTGTTTCCCACTGGTGTCGGTTTTACATGTGTTCATTCATAAGACTCATTTTTTGTGCACGCTGGAGGAAGCTGTTTGGAAGAATCACATTCTATCCTTCCCTAAAGGCTTGCCCTGCCTTGGTCCCCCATGCTAGCTTGCAAGAATATTCAGGGGTAAGAAGGGACTGCTTTGTAGACAGCTGCTTTGTAGACTTTTTGCATGCAGAGAATCCAACAAGAAAAGTCCTCAATGAGCGCTGCTTACGTGAATCCCACTGTGTGACTTTCTCTGTAGTAACCAAACTCTAAAAGGTGGGAGGATGTCCAGTGGCTTGGTATCACTTTAATAGCCACGCTTCCTCTAGTTTAATCCTCAGTGTTTGTCCCTCTCTGTCTTTGTGTAGCTTCCCTGAAAGTCTGCTGGTGGGTTTCCATTTAATCGGATTATGAGTCACCTGTCTCAATAGGCTTGCCTTTACAAAGTACTTGAGATCTTAAGATGAAAGGTGCTAGGTACCTGTATATTGTTGTTATGGTTACCAAAGCTTCCTGATTTTGTTTGGCCTGCTTGTGTTTGTTTTCTGTGCATGCCTCCATTGCACTGAAAACACCTGTAAATCAGCAGAGGCAGGTAGCAGAACTACTGCTCTGCTCCCGAAAACTCTACTGAGGAAGGACAGAACGGAAGACCTCATATGCTGTATTCTGAAGGAAGGAGTCCCCTATTGTGCATTTCGAGCATCAGAACTCTTCCTTAGGGGTGACGCTAGTTGAGGAGCTTCAACACTTTAAGCCTCTTAGCCTGAATCGTCTCTTACAACTGTAACAGTCTGAAGAGGGGCACACTTATCTAGTCAGATTAGTCATGCTATGAAAAAGCATGTGGACAAGAATTCAGCAAATCCGACATCACAACTGTTGCTCAGTGGCAGAGCCAATGGCATTCTACTCACTTTTTTGTTCAGTGCATTTGTTTTGGTGTCTTTGGGTGTAGTGCAGGTCCTGAAAGCGCACAGCACTGCACAACTGTTGTGAGCTATTAAAGGAATTGCT